GATCAGCGAACCATCGATGCTGTCACATTTCGAAGTGGAAGGAGAAACAATCGTCAGGGCGGATGCATTTCTTGTGAACTAGGCTAAGGTTCCAGACGGTTATATCGTGCCCTTGATGCAGGCCGCGCGTTCATTCACAAAGGCAGAACGGCGATACAAAAAAACCCAAGAAATTAGCATTGGCATTCATTATTGGAGTACAGCAATTTCATAAATTCCTTTATACGAGAGAGTCTCTTTTCGTTGATGAATGTTTGCTGATTGCTAACGGAATGCATCTATCTCGCTCTGCCGTCAGCCTCGACAGATTTCCTGCTAACCGTAGCAGCTGTCGAGGCCCAAGACCGAGTGGACCAGAGGAGTTCCGATAGCGATCGGTGAAGGCTCTTTAACGAGTGTCAATTTCCCCCGACCTAAACCGGCAAGACAATGAGCTCGTGGCTCACTGATTAAGGCGTTAGACTCTGACCAAAAAGGTTGCGAGTTCAAGGCTAGGATGGGGCACCACTTGGGTCTAGGTATGACTGCCTGACGACGGCTTCTTAGTCCGAAATGGTCATTGCAGTCCCCCTTGTCTTTGCCCTTGTCTGTTCTACACACAGATCGCAAGACACCTTAGCTTTTGTGGATATGTGTTGTTTGGGTGCTGTAGTACGCAGCCAAAAGGATACAACGATCGAACACAATCCCGTCGAATTGTAAGTTTCCAAACCAGTACTTGTCGATATGGAAGTTTTCAATTCCAGGCGTTTGAACACGGTTGAATGTAGATACCGAAAAGTAGGAATACGTGGTGGTCGCAGGCAGGTTTATAGATATGTAGGCGCTTAAAGGTATTACCCGGCTGATCAGATCAGGGTGCCCACTGCAGCCGACTCACAATGACGCAATGAAGATGAACTTCTTTGGAACAGTTGGCCTGATGAAAACAAAATACATCCCTTCAGGAATCTAAAGGAGCACTTGTATATAACAGGCCAAACAGCAGTACCAGGTCTTGCGCGAGCTCCATACTGGACATCAGGGTACGACCAAAGTGACACGATTGAAACGATGGTACGCGTAAGGGTAAGGGTATCTGTCTATCTAATTTTCGGTCCGTGTGGATGTAAGTCTAAGAAACTACCAAAGTACCGTCCTTTTCATGGTTCGAGGTGACGAGACCCTGGACTTCGGACCTCCTCCTTCTTCAACCGAATAACTATAACAGCAGTCGAAAAATGGTCAAGTTGGTGAGGTTTTGCAACTGCTACAGCTGATATTACAGCGAAAATGACAAAAGAATGTCAAGAAGTCAAGTTAGTCGAACGAACTCTTCGATTATTTATCCTCAGACCGGTGGAATAATATAAGGGAGAATTAAGAAGTAGAAAATGACTCGATCGCTGGGACAATATGTTTATTCGCATGCAGTTTCGAAATCCGCCGCAGATTCATCATCAGAGGCATACTCACAAAACGGTAGCGGAAATAGTTTGTGTGTGCACAGGGTTCTGCCGTAAAATTTTACCGGACAGAAAAAATAGATAAATGCCTTTGTGTGCTGATTCGTTATGTCAGCAATGACCATCTGGCCTTGTGGTGTTGGCATAAGATGAGGTGGTGGCCTGTTTGTTCCCCAAGCGGCGGTTTGCTCTGGCCGAATTTAGTCTCGGCTCCGAATATGGATTGGGCAAATCGTTACACTTGTTGATGGATTGGGGGCCCGTGAGCCATGACTCAAATAATTGTCGGCTCGTTCTACTGTCACCTCTTGTGAGAATTTCGGCCTCATCAAACTTGAATGTGCGGCCGAGTCTCGTCGAATGAGGCGCAACTTGAGAATTGGCATCAGTTCGCCGCACCGCTGCCGCGTTTTCGGCAATTCGCATCTTGAGAGGCCTGTCAGTTTCTCCGACATAGTTGCTTTGCCCGCAACTGCGCCAGATCCTATAGACGACTCCAGCTGTTTCTTGCCGTGGCAATGGGTCTTTCGGTTTCATGATTTGACGCCTTATGGTTGCTTTCGGCCTGTGTGCAACTCCAACTCCACAAACGCAGTTGCGTAAGGACGCTCTATCGGCGTGTTGAGACGCATGCAGTGAACCAGAAGATAAAGTTGCTGAGGTACAATACCTTCGACGGTTTTTCAGAGAAAATGGTTACCCACGCAACTTCGTCAACCGGTGCTTGCGCAAACGAGATGGCCAACAAAGTTACACGGACCCTAAAAATTTGGCGAGTGATCCCGTATGTCAAAAACGTATCGGATGCGGTCGACCGCCTTCTTGCACAACTTGGAGTTGGAGTCGCACGCATATTCAAGTTTGATGAGGCCGAAATTCTCGCCAGAGGTGACAATAGAGCGAGCCGAGAATTACTTGGGTCATGGTTCACGGGCCCA